TGTATTCAGAGATGCTCTTTTGCATACCTCGGTTGTAACGAGTGGTTATTTGAATTTCTGTTGCCTTTCTATCAGCTCAACCAGTCTGGTCATTCTCCTCTGACCTCTGCCATCAACAGGGCATTTGCACCCACAGAACTTTTTCAAACCATTTTGTGTAAACCTTAGAGATTGTTGCGCTTAAAAATCTCAGTAGATCAGCAGTTTCTCAAATTTCTTAAATACCAGCCCATCTGCCACCAACAACCTTGCCATGTTTATTTACTTAAATCACCTTTCTTCTACATTCTGATCTTGATCTGATCATCTTGATCATGTCTGCATTCTTAAATGTATTAGGTTGCATTCATGTGATTGGCGGATTAGAAATTTGTGTTAACGATCAGCTGAACAGGTGTACCTAATAAAGTGGCCAGTGAGTGTGTTTGCAAGTATTCTTCATTACTAACATTAACTAATAAAACCACATGGTATCCTTTTTTCACTTATATTCTAATGCATTTTCAGTTATAAAATATATATGAAATGTTGTATATTTGAATAAATTGATATAAATGTTACTTAAGCTATAATTATGATCAGACGCTTCACATGATTTATTTTAGTCAAACAGTTAAAATAAGTTAAAGTATGAAATTAAAGCTTTAGCTTTGGAATTACCAAAAATACATGTTTTTTTTTAAAGGCGTGACATTTTACTTCATTATATTATCTACAAAAACAGCTTTTAATTACTATAAAGTACTGTACAATATATAATGCACCCAATTAAGCTAAGTGCTCTTTTTATTAGGGGTTAATTACAACAGGCATATAGTGAATAAAAGGCTCTAATAAAGTTCTGTTTTAGCACCTGATTTGTTTATGAGTTGCTAATGGATAAGCAGCTGAAATGCAGACCAACAGTGGTGCAAGGATTTTTTGAATTCACCCCTGTGTATTTGTGTGTGTACATGATGCAGCTTGGCAGTGATGAAATGCGTAGATGTCAGCATTTGAATATCTGTGATCTGTCAGCCACTGAGGGACCAGTGGGGGCTGCTGAGTGACAGATTTACTGCAGAGAGCTTGAAAAAGCAGGCCACTGACTGGTCCTATAGTATTGTATTCGATCTTTATATAGTTGATATTTCCTTATATTTTAGCCTACTCATAATTTCTCCATTTCCAGTCTGACCTTCTATTGGCCAACTGTGCTAAATCAGTAATTGAGGTTCAGTGTAATCAGACCCCTCTGGGCTCTTACAGGAATTCCTGTCTTTGGTAATTATCATAAGACTGTCATCAAATTTCTTATGTCAATTCATCGCCTGTGTGTGTTGATTGGAAAAAATTCAAGCCTGTCTTCCACTAGGAACAGGTGATTGGAGATGGGTGATGTGCAGTGGTTGGAAAAAGAGAGAGAACTTATCACCTCAAATACAATGGCTAGAAACAACAAGGTCAAATTAAGAAAAAGATTTACATATATCAAATGTAACAAACAAAAAATCAACTCCTAAAATAATCCTATGCTAATCTGAAAAAAAGAAAAACAAACATCGATATGCATACAGTAACTCCCTTCACTGTCATAAACAGGAGATAACTAATTCAAAACAAATTGGCACCCACCTTCCTACTTAATCCTCAAAATAAAAATAAACAAACAAATCAACCAGACTTCTCTTTGGGTAAATTATTAGATATTAACAAGAAAATCACTAATAGTAGAAGTATCTTCTATAGCCTCAACACACATAAGCCATTTAATCTAAATGAAATGTTTAACGTTCTAGTAAACAACAGGTTTAGATGTGAAGAAGAGCTTAGCCGCTGCACTAGCCACCACCAACTGGTTGGTGAAAAACAACATAAATCACATTGTGCTCACCAAAGATACGTCTCTGGATGTAACAATTAAACTTATACAAACAAAAATAATAAGAAAGTTTTACAGAAAAACAGAAACAAATATTATTCCCAACCCTTCCCCTATAAACAGAATGAAATTACATTTACACACAAAACTAATATTAATTCTAAAAAGTAAAGCATAACAACAGTACAATTTTTTTTTTTTGCTTATTTCATTCATACATTAATATTTTTTTCGGCTTAGTCCTTTTATTAATCAGGGGTTGCCACAGCGGAATGAACCGCCAACTTATCCAGCACATGTTTTACGCAGCAGATGCCCTTCCACCTGCAACCTATCACTGGGAAATATCCATACACACTCATTCACACACATACACTACCAACAATTTTAGCTTACGCAATTCACTTATACCACATGTAATTGTACTGTGGGACAAACCGAAACACCCGGAGGAAACCCACTCGGCAACAAGGGAAAAACATGCTTGCTGTGAGGTGGTTGTGCTACCCACTGCGCCACTGTGCTGCCCTTCTTGCTTATTTGTTTTAGCATAAAAATATATGGTACTTTTTACACCAAAAGTGAAATGAAATAACTAAAACCTTCTAAAGCCTGATGGAAATGCAAATTCACATCTGTACAGCTGAGGGAACACCTCAAACAAACCTTTCAGCTGTGCTGCCTTTTTGGATTATTGTACATGAAGAAAGGAAAAGAAAGTTAATAGCTTTAACTTTAATAATTCAGCAAGGAATTTTCAGATTTGCATTTTACACTTTTTATTCATTACAACCCCTTCAGACTGGAATTATGATGAAGTATTAGGAAAAAATAAAAGTAAAAGTACATTTTCTCCAATCTTGAGGCTTCCGAAAATAAAAACTAAATTAAAATAATAAAAATGTCAACATTTATTTGTGTCTTTTTTAATGGACATAAGGTCAGCACAGTTAAACTGCAAAAATAATATACCAACATAAAATTAACAATGACGTCATATAAATTGTTGGTCTTTTTGAAGGGTACAAACTTGTGTCATATATGTCATATATATGATATGTTACCTGCTTAATCTCCACAGAGGAATGAATTGGTATTACCAGCGAACGCTCTTCCTGCCACAACCCAGCAGAGTACACAAACTCATATAAAGAAACACTCAGTTCTGGAAAACACCCATATATTCGCTCATTCATACACCATGGCCAAATTTGTTCATCCAGTTAACCCATACTCTTGGGCTGTAGAAAAACCTACACCTGGAGAATACCTACATGAACACAGGGAAAACATAAATGCCTCCCAGTCCAGCTAGGACTTGAACCATCAAACTGCAGACATTTTTAAATGAAATCCTAATTGAAAACATGCAATTCTACAATCTACTAATTGGAGTTCATCTGTGGTAAATTCAGTTGATTAACTATGATTTGAAAAGGCATACACCTGTCTATATAAGGTCCCAGGGTTGACAGTGCATGTCAAAGCAAACTAAGCATGAAGACAAAGAAATTGTCTGTAGATCTCCGAGACAGGATTGTCTTAAGGCACAAGGCTGGGTAAGGTTTTAGAAAAATTTCTGCTGCCCTGAAAGTTCCAGTGAGGACAGTGGACTCCATCATCCATAAGTGGAAGATATTTGGAACCACCAGGACTTCTCCTACAGCTGGTTGGCCATCTAAGCTGAGTGATCAAGGTAGAAGGGCCTTAGTCAGGGAGGTGATCAATAACCCGATGTTTACTCTGTCTGAGCTCCAGTGTTCTTCTGTGAATAGAGGAGAACCTTACAGATGGACAACCATCTCTGCAGCAATCTACCAATTAGGCCTGTATGGTAGAGTGGCCAGACGGAGGCCACTACTGCCTATAATTTGCCAAAAGGCATCTGAAGGACTCTCAGACTATAAGAAATAAAATTCTCTGGTCTAATGAGACTAAACTGGAACTCTTTGGAATGAATGCCAGGCGTTACATTTGGAGAAAACCAGGCAACACTCATCACCATGCTAATATAATCCCTACAGTAAAGCAAGGTGGTGGCAGCATCATGCTGTGGGGATGTTTTTCAGCAGCAGGAACTGGAAGACTTGTCAGGATAGAGGGAAATATGAATGCAGCAATGTACAGAGACATCCTGAATGAAAACCTGCTTCCGTGTGCTCTTGACCTGGGGCGACGGTTCATCTTCCATCGGGACAATAACCCAAAGCACACTGCCAAAATATCAATTGCGTGCCTTCACAACAACTCGGTGAATGTCCTTGAGTGGCCCAGCCAGAGCCCAGATCTAAATCCTATTCAACATCTCTGGAGAGATCTGAAAATAGCTGTACACCGTCGCTTCCCATCCTGCCTGATAGAGCTTAAGAGGTAATGCATAGAGGAATGGGCAAAAATTCCCAAAGGCTGGTGTGCCAAGCTTGTGGCATCATATTCAAAAAGACTGAGGCTGTAATTGCTGTCAAAGGTGCATCCACAAAGTATTGAGCAAAGGCTGTGAATACTTAAGTACATATGGTTTTTCAGATGTTTTATATTTGAATGAATTTGGAACAATTTCAAAAAACCTTTTTCACATTATCATTATAGGGTACTGTGTTTAGAATTTTGAGAAAATAAATGAAGTTAATCCATTTTGGAATACGGATGTAACATAAAAAAATGTGGAAAAAGTGAAGTGCTATGAATGCTTTTCAGATGCACTGTATGTACAGTATGTATGTATGTATGTACGTATGTACAGTACGTATCTATGTGAAACAATAATTTTCTTTTTTGGGTGAAATAACACTTTCAGATTTGTGACCTTTATAGTACTCAACAAGCAGTTTTATTCACAAAGTATGATTTCCATGTAAGATGGGAGATGGCATTACAATAATCCTTTATTTTACTTGACAGACAGCCCCAGCTTAGCATGTTATGGTAACTCTAAGCTTAGCGTGCTTCAGATATTATTTATTGACTTAACTAATATGTATTTTGTTTGTCCTCTATTTATTTAGAAAAAAAATGGTTAGAAACTCTATAAATGGTTCAGAAAGAGGCAGTATAATAGACCTTTGTAGCACATTCTTTTTTTTCTGTTTGTTGTGTTTTGAGGAATTGCAGTAATGAAGTGATTTTATTTCCCCCTTAGGCTACGGGATCGGTCTTCCCCAGAACTCACCTCTAACCTCCAACATATCTGAATTCGTCAGCCGTTACAAGTCAGATGGCTACATGGACATGCTGCATGACAAGTGGTACAAGGTGGTGCCGTGCGGAAAGAGAGTTTTTGCTGTTACCGAGGTGAGCAGGAAACTCAGGAGTGTGTAAGTGTGCAAGAAATCTTCAGTGACCCAAAACAGAATTGGAAAACTTGGTTTCAATATTAACAAATAATAAATATTTATTGCATAATTCCTATATCAGCTCAATCCCTTTTACCGGATTAGATGCATGTAATTAATTCATGGATGGGGGTAGCACTTTTCCATCTCATACATTAGAGCGGTTTGAGGGTGTTAGCCAAGCTTCTACATGTAGTTCTGTGCATTTAAGTTGATTTCATTTTGCAGTTGAAATATGTTACGTTTAGATTTAATCCAGACCTAGATGCTTATTAAGTTGTGCAGTGAATAAAATATTGCATGATGCGCAAAGAAATGTTGTATTTTATAATTGAATGCTCAATATCCTACTTATGACAAATCTATTATCAAATAAATAATTGTAAATTAATCTAAAATAAAATTCAGCTCTTTGAAGCAAATAAAAAAAACTTTAAGAGGCATTTTATGTCTGTATGTCACTGTTAATTGATACATATTAAATAAGGTCAATCTAGAAATTATGTTTTAAAGGGCACCTATTTTACCTTTTTTATTAGATAAAAGATAAGACTTTTGTGTCTTCGGAATGTGCCTGTAAAGTTTCAGCTCAAAATACCCATCAGATTATTTATTATATAATGTAGAATTTTCACAGTCTGAGGGCAATGTAGCTGTTTTTATAGCCTGTGGCTGTAAATCCAAGTAAGCTGCTTCTCCCCACCCGCCGCTCCGTCGTGCATGTCTGCTTCTCATGCGTTATGTCAGAAAAACAGCCATCAGTGTTAGGTCCCATTTATTTTTTGCTCATGTGATCGAATCTGTTTTATGACAGTGTAAACATGAAAAAAAATTCATGCATTCGGATATTTAGAGATCGGTTTCAGGCCTCCTTCATATGTGGAAATAAATTAGATATGAATTGGATATGTGACAATGCAACTATCATGTAAACAGGCACATCGGATTCATTGAGGCATTTCGTTTTGTACGTCATTAAACTCGGGACAATGTTGTACTTTTCCGCGGGTTAATGACATAGAAAGAAGAGCATGTGTGGAGATGCCAACGAGGTAAACAACAACAACAGAGGAAACACGGAGGAGGAAAGTGGTCAGTCACCGCAATTTGCTTCCACCAGACCCGAGATCTCTCTCGTACCCACAAATTCCTCTGAATGGTGAAGGACACCATATATAAACCATATAGGCTCAAGCTACGATGTCGACCCTTTTCCTCCTTCTCTGCCTCAAAATCATTTTAAAGCTGGGTGAACTTCACATTTCGTAGAGCTAAAAGCAAGACAATTTCTTCCATCGTGGCTAGTGCAAATGCTACAACCCACCTTTACGCATGCGTGATATCGTAAATTGTTAGCAAGTGTAAACACAGGAATCGGATATGGGTCACAATTAAAAGAACGTGTAAATGGACTGACAAAAAAATTGGATATAGGCAACAAATTGGAATTGGGCATCAAGACCTGACAGTGTAAATGGGTTTAAGTTTATTCAAGTCTTTCTGAAATGAAGAGTCTCACACAAATGTCGTTCCCCTTCGGGGGGAACTTCAGCACTATAAGTGGATTTGATTGTAAAATCCACGCATTGGGAGGTTCGGTTCAGAAGCTACTCGTCTGAAAGAGTATTGAACGGGCCAATTAAGAATGAATTGGCAGCGCAAGCCTGCGCAGGTGAGCGGCATAAGCAATCAACTGAGTATATAAGCTCACCTGGCGCCAGCAGACGCTATCCTTTTCGCTTCAGAGACTTTCTGATCGAGTCGATGAGGGTTCCTCCTGCTGTGACCAGCGATTCTGAGCGAACGAGAGCATTCTCCCGGTCCAGAGTGTGTACACGCAGTGGCAGACGGTCGAGCTGGGTTTCTCCCTTGCCTGGCGTTCTTTGGGTCCGGTCCTCCAGAGCGGTGCGTATAAAGTTGCAAACTTCACAGAAAGAGCAACACAGTCGTGCAGCACGTCCTTATCAGGACGGCGCTCCGACTGTGCGTTTCTGGATGCGGTGGTTTCCTGTCCTCGGATGATGGGCGCGGGCACTGCGTTACATGTCTGGGGGTCCAGCATGTTAATGCGCTGCTCGCGGGCAGTTCATGTCGTCATTGCGATGCCATGACTGTTGCGCAAGATCGCGGTTAGCCTTTGCAAAAGGGCGAACCACCCCAGTTGTCCCCTGCTCTGCAGCGGGCACTCGAGCAGATCTGAGGGTTTCAGCGAGAGATAATCCGTCGCCCACGGGCCCGCGGACCTCCCGCTCCTCTAAGCGCTCCATCCAAGCTTCGGGCGGGGGAAGCGATCCGTCTAACAGATGGTAGCCCTTACGCCCGATGACACCGAAGACCAGATGTCCACCGCGGCATCGGAGGGTGGGCTTTCATTGTCCGATGATGATCCAGACCCGCTCGCCCCCTTCGGGCTGGTGAGCGCTGTCACTACGGATCCTGAAACGGACATGTTAGCCGTGCTTTCCCGGGCTGCTTCGGCCGTGGGTTGGAGATGGTTTATCCCCCAGCTCCGCGGCCGGACCGACTAGAGGGGCGTTCCCTTCTTCCCGGAGGTGCACAGTAGGCTCACGCGGTCTTGTAAAGCACTTTTTTCTGCTCGTGCTGCGTGTTCCTCCACCCTAACCACTCTTGACGGTGAAACAGCCAGGGGGTATGTGGCGATTCCTCAGGTTGAGTGCGCGATGGCGGTAAATCCGCGCGGCGCCTCTTCTTGGCGGGGTCCGCCTCGTCTCCCATCCAAAGCCTGTAAGTTATCTACCTCCCTCGGAGCTAGAGCTTACATAGCTGCGGGCCAGGCTGCTTCCGCCTTGCATGCGATAGCCACCTACCAGCGCTACCAAGCGCAGGCGCTGGCCGAGCTGCACGAGGGTGGGTCCAACCCAGGCTTACGAGCTTCGCACCGCCGCCGACTTAGCTCTTCGGACTACTGAGTCCGCTGCGTGTGCGTTGGGGAGGACGATGTCCACATTAGTGGTCCAGGAGCGCCACCCCTGGCTGATATGCGCAAAGTCGACAAAGTCCGCTTTCTTGACTTCCCCATATCCCCAGCCAGGTTCGGCGACACTGTCTGTGAATTCACCCAGGAATTCAAGGCGGTGAGAGAGCAGTTGGTGGGTGATGTCTTATCGGCGGTCCGTAGCCCGCTCCGCCCGCCGTGCCATTCATACCTGCTCCTCGCCGAAGGCGACCGCCTACGAGAGCTGCTCCGCCCCCGCACACGCCTCCGGCGAAGCGAGCGCGTCGGGCACCTCGGAAGCAGGCAGCCCCCCTGCCCAGAACGCCGCTAAGTCTGGCAACGGACTGCGAAGCGCCCCTGGGACAGGCCATCTGGAGAAGAGGGAACTTGCTCTTTCCCCGCTGGAGGGCGGGGCCCCATTTCCAACGGCACTTTTTACTGCCATGAAAACATTATGAAAGGGCACTTTTTACTTCCCCAGATGTGACAGCCCGAAATCTGCCAGTCTGGGACGCTATGCTTTCTAGCTTGCAGATTCGGTGCGTTTCGCCAGTGGCTCACGAGCGCTGGGAGGACGTCTCCTTTCTCCCACCCCTCGAGCCTCCCCTCCGGAGCTCGGGTTTGGAGTGAGAGCAAATATCTCACCTCCAGCTTTTCCGTGGGACCCGCGAGCTTCCCGGATCAGCACACCCACTCCGCGCTGCCCCACTGCTGGTACGTCAGCGATTGTAGCGATGAGTCCATTAGCGAGAGCTCTGCCTGCCTGGTTAGCGCGGGCCAGCTCTTCGCGGTGGCTCATACGCACAATCAGACTCGGCTATGCGATTCAGTTCGCGAAACGGCCCCCCAAGTCACGGGTGTGTATTCACCAGGGTCAGCCCCCTGTCCACCCCTGTCTTGCGAGAGGAGATTGCTGTCCTCCTGGCGAAGGATGCAATCGAGCCGCTCCCTCCAGCCGAGATGGAGTGCGGGTTTTACAGCCCACGCTTCATCGTGCCCAAAAAGAGCGGTGGGTCACGGCCAATCCTAGATCTGCGCGTTTTGAACCGCTGCCTGCACAAGCTGCCGTTCAGAATGCTCACGCAGAAGCGCATCCTCCGGTGCGTTCGTCCTCTGGGTTGGTCTGCAGCATTAGACCTGATGGACGCGTATTTCCATGTCTCCACTCTTCCTCGCCACCGACAGTTTCTGCGGTTTGCGTTTGAAGGTCGAGCTTGGCAATACAAAGCCCTCCCCTTCGGGCTCTCTCTGTCTCCGCGGGTCCTCACCAAGCCCGCGGAGGGTGCCTCAGTGCCCCTTCGGCTCGCGGGCATCTGCATACTCAATTTCTTTATGACTGGCTGAATTTTGCCCTCTCTTTTGATTATGCACAGAGTTGATTATGCACAGAGACAAAGTGCTCTGGCACTTCCACCTGTGGGGGTTTCAGGTCAACCGAGAATAGAGCAAACTCGCCCCCGTGCAGAGGATCTCTTCTCTCGGGCTGGAGCTGGACTCGGTCACCATGGCAGCGCGCCTCTCCGGAGAGCGCGCTCAGCTGATGCTGTACTGTCTGAGAGAGCTCGACAGTAAAATAGTGGTCCCACTGAAACTATTTCAGAGGCTCCTGGGGCATATGGCATCCGCAGCCGCTTTATGCCGCTCGGATTATTCTATATGAGACCACTTCAGCACTGGCTTCACGATCGAGTCCCCAGACGCGCATGGCACGTGCGCGCACACCGAGTCTCTGTTACTGCGCTGTGTCGCCGCGCCCTCAGCCCTTGGAGCGACCCCTCGTTCCTACAGGCCTGGGTGTCTCTAGAACAGGCGTCCAGTCTTGTTGTCGTTTCAGCAGACACTTCCAACACGGGCTGGGGGGCTGTGCGTTGCGGGCATGCGGCTGCGGACCTGTGGAAAGGTACCCAGTTGCATTGGCATATCGCCTGGAGCTGTTGGCAGTGTTCCTCGCTCTCCACCGTTTTTTCCGGTGCTGGAGCGGCAACACGTGCTGGTCAGGACGG